TATCCAGCTTGGCTGCAGTATATTTTCATGTTGCGATCTGCAGGTAGTGTGTGATGTGAATAGTTTAAGGGGGCTTTTGGAGGCATCTCAACATTTGGGTTTGCACATGAAGAAAGACTCTTTTTGCTCACAGAGAGAGAGCGAGAGAGCAGAGGACGAGTGAGGCACTGGTCGAACTCAAGGGGAGGCTTAAAGCACATTTGGGTTTTTGTGCACTTGAGTCTGTCCGGTCGTATTTTTAGCAAGCGTGTGTAAAGGCGCGCAACCAGCAACGTTTTTTACTCATTCTGATTGTTTGTCAGCTCAAAGCACACACACACACACACACACCACACACACTGCTGCTGCTGCGAGCTTTTTTTTGTGGTGGTGGTCAGCTATGCTAGCACAGATACAAATGTATCCAGTACAGACACAGTAGCTGACTCTGTCTGTACTGTACGCTTGTCTTTTTACCACTTGCATGCCAGACCCATTAGTGGTTACTGCCACCTAGAACTGCGTGTGTGTGTGTGTGTGTGTGTGTGTGTGTGTGTGTGTGTGTGTGTGTGTGTGTGTGTGTGTGTGTGTGTGTGTGTGTGTGTGTGTGTGTGTGTGTGTGTGTGTGTGTGTGTGTGTGTGTGTGTGTGTGTTTGTTTAGTGTGTGTGTGTGTTACGTGTAAAGTAGTGTCCGTTCTGTTCCCGTTTACTAATTAGTGTAAGTTTATGTGAATAGTCTGTGTATCTGTGTGCTAGTGGGTGTGGGTGTGTGCTGCGTTTGTGTAGTGTGAATTGTGTTCCTGTCTGTGTGTGTGCTAGTCAATGTTTGGGTGTGTGTGTTTGATGTGTGTGTGTGTGTGTGTGTGTGTGTGTGTGTGTGTGTGTGTGTGTGTGTGTGTGTGTCGCTTTTCGATAGCCAGCGCACATTTGGTTTCCATCCTTGTTGATGTTGATCTCTTGAGCTGACAGGTTAGGACGGGTTGCTTGAGTGAGGCGTAACACAGCGCTTTTTTCCCACATATGCAACAGTAATCAACAAACTTTGACCTCGTTAGTTTGATCGGCTTTTATTTGAAGCTCCATTCCTTCCCCGAACCCTTTCTATAGTTTGTAACCTGCAGGGACTAGACAATGCTTATTCATTTATTCTTTCATTCATTCAGAGTGGTGATTCAGCAGTCAGCAACCTGACCGACAGAATGAAGTGGAAGATCTGAATGGAGCCGTGTGTGTGGTCTTATGCATAATGGATAGCAGCTGACTGAATAAGTAGTATCTCTGAGTCCGTGCAGGCATTCATTCGTTAATCCTCCACATGAAGCATTTCGCTCTCTGTTTTACTGATTGAATAGCGAACTATTGTTTGATATACTTAGAAAAATAGATTTAAAACCTGCTTGATTCAGGGAAAGTGTGACAGCCTCATGGAGTGATGCAGTATATTAGGTATCGGTGATGTGTCAACTGAAAGAACATCCGTGTCTTCAGGTCTGCACAGCGCAGCGCTCGGTTGAATGTATCTGCCGGTTGTCCCTTTTGGCGCTGACCTCAGCTCAGTTTTACTCTCCATGTATTTGGGAACTGTCTGTCAAAACAGGATGCTGAGAACAATGCTGAAAACAATGTAATTTTCTCTTCTATCCAACTACTGATGAACCATAAAATGCCCACATACCACCTTTAAAACAAACTGTACGTGTTTGGATTGTGTACAAAGCTGCGTTTGAAACCTGGGGAAATTGCAAATAACGCCATGAAACAAAGGCACTCTTGGAAAACCAACATGACCCCTCCCTCGCCCTCCTCCTTCAATCAGCTGAATAAAGCTTTACTACTGCAATAATCTTAAGAGCTAACCAATGAGGGGAGAGATGAATGTAACAGGCAACTTGTCTCTCCAAACAGTGGCGTTATTTGATCGATTCAAACGGGATCAGTGTATTTTATCCTAAATTCATGACTTGATTTGTAACTAACAAAGCACACAGTCACAGATTCTTTAGAGCATATTATCTCCCTGTATGCTCATCCTTTTTAATCCTTTTATTAACTTCTTCCTTTTTCTTCATCTTTTCCCCTCTGCCACGCTCTTCTTTTCCGTGCCATTATCATACAGCTGAAGTCTTAATGCTCGGTCATTCTTATTTTTTAACTCTGTACAGTCATCAACAAGTTTATAAAAAGAGAAATTCAGAGCAATACTTTTTTTTTTTTTTGAGTCGGTCTCTTAGTATTTCCATCTTGCTACTGTAAATAGCAGAAGAATGATAGCGATGATCACTGACGTGCTGAAGAGGCTTGGCACCTTTTGTAGAGCAGCTAATGATGGTTAGCAACAACATGGCGGCATGTTGTTTCTAACCAGTGGCAACCTCTCCGAATATGACATGCCTCGCTTCCATTATTTAGTCTCTGATTGTAGTGTGTGTGTATGTAATATGTTTGTATGCTCTGTAAATGCTTCTGGCTTTTAAAACCTGTAATTATTGTTAATGAACTGAAACAGAGGAATAAATAAAGAACTGCAATAAATTATTCTACTTAACAACAGTGAGACAGCTGCATGAGTCGTGTTATTGTGACAGAAGAGGGTTTGTCCTCCCCCCCCACACTGGTACTGTTCTCTCTCTCTCTCTCTCTCTCTCTCTCTCTCTCTCTCTCTCTCTCTCTCTCTCTCTCTCTCTCTCTCTCTCTCTCTCTCTCTCTTGCAAGGTTTTTTTTTCTTCTTTTCCTTCCTAGCAGAACGGTACACTCTGGTAGTAACAGAAGAGGAGTTTCTCCTCAGTGTTTGAGCAAGAAAACCACAAGAAATATTAGAAAAGAACTGCCAACCCACACCCCTCCTACACGTACTACTCCACTGAGTATGTGAAGGCTTCATGGCCAAAGTAACAACAATTTTGGGGTCAGTTAGTATGCATAAGATTCATAGGGCTCTTTATTAATAAGGTTTGATGCAGTATAATTAAAAAAATAGAAATAGGGTGGAAACACTCCTTTTCATATTAAATTTCTATATGAATATGTATAGTATCAAATTTCTATGGTCCATAAATGTTGCTAAAACATCAGTCAGAAAATCAGTAAAACCCTGATCTACACTAAAGATCCATCCAACATTTCTGTATATATGGTACATTCTACACTGCAGTTGTAAACTTGTGTTTAAAACTGTTTTTTAAGTGTAGACGTGCATATGTATTTGCTGTTGACTTGAATTCATATTCGTGTTTTTGTGTGTGAGACGGTCGAAATGCTAAGATCATTACATTGCCTTTACACTTTCTACCTTTTGCAGTGTGTTTCTGCGGCCGCTGCAGGAGCCCTCAGTCATCTTGTGGTCTGTATGTGTTGCTTTTATCGCGGTTCCTCTCTTCAGGGAAGTCTGGTTGTGTGTGCGTAAACGTGAATGGGTTCCTGGTATTGCAACCATACTGAAGTGTGTGTGTGTGTGTGTGTGTGTGATTTCTGTGTACTAAACCACAGTCACAGCATTTAAGTTTTGACTTAAAAGTCCTTATTTGAATATGTGTCGCCACATAGTGTGTTTTGATCACTGATGAAGATTTTAAAACAAGAGGGCACATCACATATGCCAGTTTGAAAATATAAACGGTTGACCAAAATGATTAATAATGTCCCTAGGTAAAAAATTCTTAATAATGAAAATATAATTTAGGGGCACTATTAACTTTGAGAACATAAACAACACATTTTAATTCATTATAGCCTGATTATAACATATTCAGGGGCCTCGATACCAACTTTGTACCATCCAGCAGCAGATTAGCTTAGCTTAGCACAAAGACCAGAAACAGGGAAATGACTAGTTCTGTCTAAAAGTAACAAAGTCTTCCTGAAGTCTTGTCACCAGGCAACCGAGCCTTTTGTACAGATTAAACAAACAAGGTATAATGTGTTCATTAGTGAGCTTTAAAGGTGCTGGCAGGCAGATGTAGTTGCCTTTGGACCGAGCCAAAAATATACCTATTTCCAGACTTTATGCTAACCTGTGACTGACAATAGCTTTATATTTACTGAACAGCGTGGTATCACTCTTAAAGTGATAGTTTGGTGGGTTTTTTGAAGGGGGGTTGTACCTACAGCCCTTTCTTTCAGGAAACTGAAGCTGCTATATCCATCTATGCTCTATCCAAAGCCACCAGGCTGAACCCGATACAAACGCTTGAGTTTCCTAAAGTTCAGAAAGTGTGTGACGGCAAGGTAAAGCGGTGCAGTTGGTTTTTATTCTGGTGGGCCACATTTTGCTGCTGCCCCCACCCACAGCTGCAGTTCATTCCTTATCTTCAGTGCCAGCACTTCTGTCTGCGTCTCTAAATTGAGGGCCTTAAAGGTACAGCACCCTGTGGACCGTTTATATTCAGTGGTTTCGCACCAAAATGCGTCTTTGAGGCCTGAATAACATATCGAGTACTTTTCATTAAATAAATTATATTTTGTATCGTGTTTAGATCCATGTTCACGTTGCATAGATGTCTTCTATTCTACCTTTTGCTAGTTTATAATCTAGTTATTAGTGCATGCTGCCACTACTGGCCAAAGGCTCCACAGGGTACCTAATATTTTCTGGAATCAGTTAACGGTACGCTAAATGTTATCCTAAGTCTTACATTTTGGGAAAATATGCTTATTGAATTTCTCATGGAGAGTTCAATAAGACTGATACCCCTCCCATATCCGTCCATTAAGTATAAGGCTACAGCCAGCAGCCGCTTAGCTTAGCTTAGCTTAGCTTAGCTTAGCTTAGCACACAGACTGGAAACAGGGAAACATTTCCACAAAGTTTCCTGGAAATTAGATATCGTCATTTATGCTGTAAATTCTGACATATTCCATTAACAAGGTTGAGAGAAAAATCCTGTTGAGAAACCAAAAAAAAAACAATGAAAGCTGGTGACTAATGGCTCTTCCTTCTGGGAACTGCTTTTCTACATCACTTCTGAATAACAATTGGTTTACAAGGAACTTATGAATTGATGATTGGTCACAACACAGCTTTGTCCAAGGAAATATGCGCAAAGTGAGGCTTAAGTGTATGTAAAAGCTAATAGGCTTTACCACAGGGGAGTAAACAGTTGCTGTTTTTATTAATGAAAGAGCGTCTCTCTCACTTTGTCCTCTGCCTTTTTGTGGACATCTTGAGGTGTCAGTTTTCAATTGATTTCGGTTGAAGGGGCGTGTGTGTATTTAAAGGACAGAAAACTCCGAGCAAAGGATTCCACAGAAATCAGCTGATAAGCACGCAATCACAGAACACCTCACTTCACCTTTCACTTCTCAAAATAGTCGGGAATGTCCTGAAAACTGAGAAGGTGTGAATGAAACTGTTACATGTATGATTTACTCATCACCATCGCCCAGCCCCACAAGAACACACACACATACAGAGAGAGAGAGAGAGACACACACACACACACACACACACACACACACATATACAGAGAGAGACACCCACACACACTTTGTGCTTAAATCTGTGACCTGACCAATTTCTAGGTAAAATCTTAAAGACGTGAGGATCGATAACACAAACACCCTACAAGATATTACAATCATAGTGTTTACATCACTGACTCATGTTCCACTGTGGTGTGTCTTTGTATGCGTGTGTTCCACCCCTGCAGCCTCTTCCTCAATCTGAGATAATTATATCCTCAAACTACTCAGGCTTTACTTGAATCAAGTTGTGACTATTATATTCGGTATGACTCAACATTGTGTGTTTGTTTGTGTGTATGTGAGTGTGTGTGTGTGTGTGTGTGTGTGTGTGTGTGTAGAGAGAGACAGAGAGAGAGAGGCTACATTTGTCTAGACCCAAGAGAATAAAAGAAAAAAAAATCCCCCAAAAAAGATCACAAAGCCTTATGGTAAGGTTTGGTTTTAGCGTTGGAGTTCTGGTTAGGTACAAGGAAGAGGTTGGAGGTTAGCTAAGGTTAAAACCTCAAGTTAGACATGACAAATACACTACAGTGTCTGAAAAAGTGACACATACTCTCACAAATGTCATGAAACTGCAAAATTTGGCAAAATTACTCTGCTTTCTCAAGATAATACCAGTTATGGAGTCATAGCTCATTGAGATTAGCGTCCCCACACTTTCTGTAATCCATGCTGTATTGTTTAAATTAATAATTTTTATACAGTGATGTTTAATATAATGTCGAAGCTTAGCTTAGAACGAAGACTGGAAAGGGGAGCCTGTCCACCAGTAGAGTATAGATAGAATACACCTCCTCTCAATAAACAGTTTAATCATTTTCCACCAGCTGGATAATCCACATTTAACTCACACTTTAATGTATGCACTATCTGTGCAGCTGTGGTTCAGACAAGAGGTTTGATCAATGTATGCTGTAACCCTACAACAGTTCGTATCAGTGCAACAGCTCTGTGTAAGAATTTGTAAAAAGGGTGTAACGTTCCTGTTAAATCATTGTCCTCAGTGTCTTTCACTTCATGTTGCTGTTGCATGCCTTTACTTCACTTCTAAAGAAGTGTAGACCAATAATCAAAAAAGCTTTCAGCTTCGCTTTAGTCAAATATGACAGTAAAACACATACACTCCTGTGAGTCATGCACTCAAACCAGGTATATCCACCGGGTTTAGCGTCGCCACACCCATCATAGAAAGGCGATATTTCATGTTTGAATGTCAGTGTACACAATGGCAGTCGTTTGTTTCAAACAGCAAAGTCATCTTTTAAATCTCCCTTAAATCTAAAGCCTCACTTTTATAAACTATTTTTGTTCCATTCTGCCTATTTACATACCACGCTGTTTTAAATGTGTGCTACATACAAAGAGTTTATCGTAATTCTAAAAATGAAATGCAAACTGTAACTCTAACCCTGACCTTGATCAAACATGTCTCTGTCAAACCACTAACCCAAAAAATTTCCCACTTCCTCCTGAGGAAATTTTAATCTGAGTTGGGTCCTCATTAGGTTAAAAGTACTGCACACACACACACACACACACACACACAATCACATGCTTCATTATGTGTCACCTCTGGCCCTGTTTCTGGTAAGTGTGTGTGAGTCTAAGCGTAAGTCCATTTACTATGAAAGTAACCCCACCCACCTGTCACTTTACCCTACAGAGATGAATCACTGTGGTGACGATACTGTACCCAACCATTTCACACTTCCTGTCTGCCTGTCTGTCCTATTGTCTTTCACATTGCATGGACAAAGCGTGTGATTGTGAGGGTGTGTGTATTGGTCCCTCCCCCTCACTCCACCCCTACAAACTCCCACCACTCCTCCATATGACATGATTCAAGGAACAGAAGCAACAGTCAGAAAGTAACTAAATCCAAATCCAGCATGGTTAGTTTAAATACATTTTATTTCAAATACAATAGTAGAAAATAAAATATATATATCTGATTCAGTAAATAAAAACTAGTCTGCTTAGCAGAGATGTTTGTAGAAGAGACGAGTTGCCTCTGCATACAGTACAACTTAACACCAGACTTCATGACTCCAATACCTGACATCTTATACAATATTTCGACACTCAGGTTTCTAAAAGACATCAAGTGGTATTTGAGCCACCAGTGCTGGCAAACATTCATGTGTGATGTAAACATTCAACAACATTAGAGTATTAAAAACTGCTACACAAATAAATCCTACTGGTACCAACGCCTGTGATGGTTTCAAACGTACCCTCCAACATGCCTCCATATCTCTCAGAGTCCACTCTGTTGATGCTATTAATGTCCTTCCACAATCCACTTTTAAATATTTTTGGGTCTCTGGTTGCCACAAACTGGCAACAGCCGACCCTACAGTTTCCAACAGAACAGTCACAGTTGACCCCGCCAGTTCTATTATCTCTGTAATAGCTCCATTGTGTCTGTAGTTTTCCCTTAATGCAGCATTTTCCAACTTTTCATGCTTCCTCAAGACCAAAAGGTGCTCTTTCCGTGTGCAAGTGGGACTTGAGTCTCTGGAGGTAATGTTTGTTGAAATGTCATGCATGGACCCTGTCCAACTGGAGACCGCCTGCACTTGACTGTGGTGATAATGGCTTCTCTTCAACATTTCGCCACTCTTCAGCTCAAAACAAGGCGGTGCAGTCTGCACATCCAACACATGATGAGCAGCGTTTACCGAACACTCCGTCAGTTTACCGCTACTTGGTAAAAACTGCCTTTTTGAGATTAAAAATAATACTATCACAGTTTGTAAGGGAATTCCAACAGGAAGCCTTGGACAACATGCGTCACAGGCAGCTCTTGAACCTGGCTTCCTCCGCCACACAGCTCCATGATGCGCTTCCTGCACAACTCTTGCAGCGTTGGTGCCCATCTCCTGTAGGGGACGCTCAGGCTCTTTTTGGGAGAATTGATGTAATGCTCCAACAGGGCAAAGAGCGTTGGGAAGGAGCGCTCGTTGCCCGCCAGTGAGAACTTTTGCCGCTTGTAGTCGATGCGCACGCTGACCGGCCCGGACTTGGCGTGGTAGGACAGCGTGAAGAAGACGTCTTTCTGACGGCTGTCGCGGATGAGGAAGCTTCCAAGCGGAGCGTCCCGCAGCATGCGATGGGCGTCTTCGACTCCCAAAGGGCCCCAGTAGAAGCCACTGTGCTCGAGCTTGGACGCTGTGTCTGTGATGATGTTGCAGTCCTCAATGCTGGAAAAGGTGCGGAAGTGGGTCAGGTAACTGGGGCGGGCGGTCGGAGACCTCGGGTTCGGCTCCGGAGCAGCCCGTTGCTGAAGCTGCTCCGACTCTGTGCGCTGAGGGCTGAGGCCGAGATCGTGCCTGGCAAGCGAGGACGACAGCGAGGACGATGAGGACAAGGAGGACGATGAGGACAGGGATGATGATGAGGACAGGGATGACGATGAGGACAAGGATGACGAGGATGATGACGAGGATGATGACGAGGATGAGCTTGACAAGTGGGTCTTGTCATGGCCTTCCACTGTGCTGTCGGCTACCATCCTACAGGGGAGAGCGGCCCCAGACCCTCTCCCATCTCTAACCACCACACTGACATCCTGAAAGAGACAAGAAAGAGAGTTATTATCAACATTCATCTGTGACTATTAAAGGAAACTGCTTTTTCACAGCGGCATGGTTACGGTAAAGTCGGTAGAGGGAAACAAAATTACAAAGACAGAGTGACACAACTTTAAAAGCATGTTTTAAGCAATGACCATGTGAGGCCCTAAAAGAACAAAGTGTGTGTGTGTGTGTGTGTGTGTGTGTGTGTGTGTGTGTGTGTGTGTGTGTGTGCTCAGTGACTTTCTCTAAGTATAGGTCAGATATTCATTCGTGTTTCCATTGATGGGTAATGTGCTTGATATGAATGGAATCTGCGGTTTGGCTAGAAGGTTACAGTCAACGTTGATGTCAGCCACAGACAGATTACAGTGTACACACACACACACACACACACACACACAGAGTTTTTGGTGCTTATAGCGGTATTTGTTTCTGTCTCACTTCTGCCGTAATGACTGAAACATCTGGTTGAAGTGAAACTTTTCCAAGCTGGTGATAAATTTAAAAAAAATATATTGTTCTACGTGAGTATTTCAGGACAATTAGGTTTTGAAATAGTAAACTGACATGTCTCAGTTGTTAACTATGAACACTGGAGCCTGGAACTGAACCTGGATTGGATTGGTTGGACTGGATGAGGTGATGAACATCTGTCACTTCTGACTGTCTGAATTTACAGGAATCATTGCATCAGTACTTATATCACATATCAACTGGCCTAAACTGTGTGTGGGATTCACCCTTCTGTCTAGTTCAGTGTGAATGACCTAAAAGCCCTACGAGGTAATCATAAGTTACCTTAAATTCCAGGAAAAGGTAATGATTACCAGGTATGTTGTCATTTTCGGGGATTGTTTTGTGTGCTTAAATTCCAGGCAATCACAACCCCACGTAGAATCCGATTTTTCTTTTTAAAGTTCCCACAACAGGCTGATGTTAACAGCTGTGAGACAGTGGGAATCAAACAGGATTAAGAGTGAAACTCCATCCACTTTCTGAACCCTCTTAATGCACCGCTTCATGCATTCACTCCACTTGAGCTCACACAACAGTTCTACACGGTTTTCCACTGCGCAGGAACCAGAAAAAAAAGGGGGGAAAGCAGCCATTTCTGTTGCAAAGCACCATTTATTTATTTTTTTAATCCTCCAAAAAACACCCAACAATGGAGCACAGAAGTCTTACCGTTTTGTTCTAACAGCAGCGGCGGCTTAAAGATCCGTTTGTGCGTAATCCCAAAGTGGCCAAATTGCGGCGGCGGCTGTTTATATCCTGCAGGTAATCCGTGGCACAGCGCAGGGTGGCTGGGAATATCGCATTTGACAGCTCGGAGGTAACTCGTCGACCTGCAGGCTGTGATTTCCACCCTTCAAAGCATCACTCTCATATGTGTGCGTGAAACCTGGTAAACTCTTTTTATATAGAGCAGCGTCTCAGCTCCGCCCTGCTCTCGAAGCAGAATTCGCTTTAGCGGCAGGCAGGCCGTTTCTCCGAAAAGACAACACACAACCGAAAGTGAAACTGATTTCAGAGCAGCCCCTTCTGCTCTTTTCTGTTCGTTTGAACTCCCTTCTGATTTTGAGAAATACAAAAAAACCGCAAAGCCACGTGAAAGTAGGACGTTTTTACAGAAAGACAGGTGATCGATTCGAGTAATGGCAGCGTTTATTAAACAGGTTTGTTTTTAAGGTTTGGCATTTGCCCCCCCTTCCCTATAAGATTATTGGGTTATGGTTAGGGTTACATATCTGGTTTTAATTCAGATCTGTAGCCTATAAATAAACAAACATGTATCAACACACCCGTCATTTCACAAGGGCACACTGCGTTCTCAGTTTATTATGTGGGGTGAACTTGCATGCAGAAGTTTACATTAAAATGATATGTCAGGTTAAATGTCTGGCATGCCCTGAATTGATCTCAAATGTCAGATGTTGCATGTAGATAAAATTCAATATAGAAATCAGGCTAACCTTTGCGTGGCAAGGCAAGTCCCTTTTTTTACTTTTTTTTCTTCTAAAGAAGAGAGAGAGAGAGCATTCCTGTATAATATCAAACCACGTGAGGAGGACAATGCAATGACTATGTACAGTAAATATTGCATGCACACACACACACACACACACACACACACACACACACACACACACACACCACACAAAAAAAAAAAAAAAAAGCAGTAGTGAACATAGCTTGGGGCCCACAAGGAAAATCAAATCAGTGCCTCTGCTGCACTTCTTCATTAGTTGTCGAGCTCTTCTGCAGAAGAGAGATTCATGGGACGTGGATGTTTGGGGTGATTCATCGCAGAAATGCTCATATTGTGACATCGAAACAGTCGCTATTTTGACTTTCAGGCACCAATAACTTCTTCTTTATTATAATGTATGATTTGTAGTAGAAACGGAATACAAATGACACATCATAGTATAGTTCATATGGTGGTTTAATAGTGAGACTCTGTGGGGTGGGGTGGGGTGGGGTGGGGTGGGGGGTGTGTGGGGGTGCTATTTCTGAGTAAGAGCCGACTGTTCCATATGAAGTCGAATCGAATCACTCTGAAGTCATAAACTCCTGCCTAATATGATGAGTTCTAAGTATATCAGCTAGAACCAGATGAAAGTCGGGGTGTGACGCAAGACTCATTTCGGAGGAATCTGAAAATGGAGTTTAATTTGATCTAACTAAAGTCTGAGCAGCTGTTCTTCCAGGCTTGTTGTGGCAGCAGTATCTACGTTTACGTCTGCATTCGTGCAGTATCTCCTCCCGCAGTGCAGCTGTATTTTGGCAGAGGATTGTCAAAGACTTAAGCAGTGTTTCGTGCCAAATGAGTCATGCATTTGTATACATGCAATAGTATAAGTACATTAAATGACATTACGAGTCAAGTGAGACATAAAAGTCGTGTCACAACAGTCACAAGTAAAATTGGTGGTTTAGAAAGAGACGGATGGACTGCCCCAGGTGGTCATGGTGTCCCGTTACCAAAGAGTGGAGAAATAGAAAGTTAAGGAAAGACTCCAGTCAGCTGGTATTAACTAAGTAGAGGCAGACAGACAGGCAGACAGACAGACAATGGTTAAGACAAAGCTGTATGAGGTCATAGTGTCTGTCTCTCTGTGTCATGGTTAGTTTCATTTTTACTAGGACTAGTCTTATTCACTTAGTACTCAAATTAGACTTCTGGTTCCATTATGAATATCGGATGGTTGTGGAGCACAGGAATACAACTCCTGGACTTTGTATTAGTCTTGTACCACTCATCTTCTTCATCAGGTGATGGATTCAGATGTGTTAAGCTATTACTGCAGCCAATCATAATCTGCTAATGTGTTGCATCGTCTATAAATGCAGGACCCCATGCACATCTGGGAAGCTCAGCACATCTGGTACCTAGACTGGTTGTGCTGAGTGAGACGTCCATCCGCCCGCCTCGTCACCATGGGGAGCAGGGCTTTCAGCCGCTCTGCCCCCCAACTCTGGAACTCACTCCCACCGGACCTCAGGAACCTGGACTCTCTCACACTCTTCAAATCAAGACTAAAAACTCACCTATTCAGAACTGCATACCCCACTTAACTATCTACATTGTCTTTTATATCTGTTTCTTATTTCTTACTGTTTTTATTTTTTATGTGTTGTACGGTGTCCTTGAGTGCCCAGAGAGGCGCCTTTAAATAAAATGTATTATTATTATTATTATTATTAAAACGCAATCTGCCGTGCTTACACAGGACTTACAGTCTTGAGAATTACTCTTAAGTTTTCTAATAGTTCTAATGGGTTTTTTTTTTTAATTCTGTTTTTTCTGCATGCTTGAGACACTCACCTTTGATATCATATGTGCCTTTTTCCTATTTCAGTAACAAAAAACCAAGAAGTGTATCCTTAGGTAACAAAATATACACAATCCAGACTGTCAGTAACTCAAAGGGAAAGGGGATTTTACACATTAAAGTCTGTTTACAGGTCTTGGGGAGTATTGCATGTGTTAAAAAAGTTGCATTAAAGCTTTTTGTGGCTACGAGTTGTTTGAAGATAAATAGCCTCAAGTGATGTCACTTAAGAAAAATCTGGGGTTGTGAAGTTAGAAAGAATTGAGGTTACCTCTGTAGCTCACGCTCTCCTCTGGTTGAGACTACAACAACTTTGATGTTTCTTTTTTTTTTTAATCATGATTTTACTTTTGACTTGGCAGCAGAGTATCTTAAAACATCTAGTACATCTAGAGTTTCTGATATTGAGACTTGTTCATTTGTATCCACATTTTATGTATAACAAATGATTAGCTGATAACTTCTATCAGTGTGTGTTTTGCTTGTGGCTTTGAGAATAATCACTGATACCCAAAATGTAATATGTTGAAGGTTATGTTCGCAATGCAGTGCTGGAGCCTGCACACAGTGCAGGGAGATGTGATTCAAGTAAGGAGGGAGACAGACAGACAGACAGACAGAGGGAGGAGTGGGTATACTGCACTCTGGTTGGTTCTGCTCTGTGTTGTTCAGTTAAAAAAGGGTTAAAGGGTTGAGTTTAATCAGAACCAAGCGACCAGTTGTCATACTGGATGCATGCCTCTGCTGTTTCTGCATGTGTTGCATGTCTGTCTTATATTTCCTACACACATTGCAGATGTATTATATTCACTCACACCCCACAGTGTGCATATGTATGCATATGTACATATTGTGCACTTTATTTGCACACACATGCTCCATGAGTTTCATTTCTGTGAAACAGGGAGAGAAGCAGGAGACTGAAACACAGCCAGCTGGAGGGTGAGCGCAGGCCAGTGAGAATGCGTTTGCGTGTTTGAACGCAGCGATTCCTTTGATAAACGCAACAGAAAATGTCACAATGTCACATGCATTGTGCCATTGTGCAAACAATTACATAAATTACTATGTTGAGGTTTAATGATCTGGGATCCGTTTCAGTTATTGAAGGACATTTGTTGCTGTCGCCACACTGAAGCTTGTCAAATAAAGTGTAATGTTTTTTATTTTGGTTTTTGCTCTTGAATTAGAGCGTGCACGGTGAGAGGATTTATTAATGGATGACAAATGGATGAAAAATGCAGAGCAGGGGAAATACTTTTTTTTGTTGTTGCTGTAACTAGTCCTGCAGGAGCCCTTTGAATTGAACCATAACAGCTTTGTTGGAGTCTGTCTGTACTTTGCATGTTTGGTAGATCATCCTGAGCCATGATTATTGGCAGATGAGCATGTCACAAAACTCTGCAGTTTCCTCAGTTTCTGCAGAAGTTTTGACGCTAATATCTTTCACTTTTAACTTCTGGGGTCTGCAGAGGTACTGGTAACTATTAAAATGTATTGATGTATTTTAGGCCTGCAGTATTCAGCTAACAAAAGCTCAGATACTGTTTCATAGCGTTTAACTGTCACATGGGAACAGCACAGGTAGGTATGATGAAGACCTGTGTCTGTATGGGTGTGTCTGTCTGTGTGTCTGTGTGGCTTTGCTCCTGGTAAATTGAAACTTTTGCATTCCCAAGGTGCTCATCATAATGGCTCCCTGTCTCACTCCACCCATCCACAAAGAAAAATGTCTGTAAAACACAGACATCATATGCTTCAAAACCTTTACATTTGTTTGTTCTTGTTTAACACTTGTTAAGCAGTGACTGAGAGAGTCGCTGGTGGGAAATAAGTGTATGAGTGTGTGTGGGTGTGTTGTTCTCTGCCATTGACATAGGCCTACATGTACACTTGTTATCTGCTATCATCCTCCATTATGTTGCCACCATTTATTATCTATTTTGTCCATTGTCGTATTGTGTTGTCTTGCTTTCAGTTTACCATGCTGTCTTAATGAGATAGTCACTGGTAAAAAACAGTAAGGGCAACACCCCTCAACCCCCACTTCCACATGCCGTCATCGGGCCTTGCTCCACAGGAGAATGTATTTTCAGTATGATGACAGTCTGACAAAGCCTGAAATTATTTATTATACACTGTGTAATAGTATACATTTCCGATTTGCTATTTTTTATGTACTTTATATTCAGTGATAAGGATCATTGCTGGTAACTACTCTGCAGCTGAATTGTCATTGAGTGAAGTATGAATGGTGGCTACAGTAAGTGGTTAGCTGTTATCTTTAAGAAAACATCACAGAGCACACATTACTGCTATAAACCTTATGTGAACCTTATGCGCTGTATGTTATGGTACTGTGTCCGAGTGCGCTACAACCAATCAATAAATCATCTTTAGTAGGGTTGTATAACTTTTATCTTTCGGTTTTGTGCGTGTGCAGTTTCATTTTGTATAATAAGTTTATGGTAAGCTTTACAAGAAGTCATGAAACAAAGGTGGTAGAGGAAGAGAAATGAAACATAAATGCAAAAGACAATAAATAAAGAATAACAGAACACATTATAGAGATTTAAAAATAATTACCTATGAAGCTAGGCTAAAAACAATACTGTGAATATTTACTGAAGAGGGTGTGGCATGTTTTCCTGCATTGTGTGAGATAATCATTGTTTGTAAAAAAAAAAAAAAAAAAAAAGCAAATGCTATTGTTGCTCCTGCCTGTAAGTGAATCTTTAACTTGGCAATCACATGCTGCCAAACCTCATAATATAGTTAATAATTACTCATTTTGGCATTTCCCAGCAGTCACTTGGGCAAGTTCTCCTGACCAGCAGCCAAAACACTTTAATATCAAACTCAAGGAGATGGCATTGTCTCTTTATCTCCTTTCTGAATGTTTTTGTATGTAAGAGTTGGTCAGAGGGAAGATAGGAGCCAGCAGGAAGCTTGTGATTGATTTCCAAATCCAGATCCAGTAGTTCCTGTACACATCTGTCAAAACATAATTGAATCCTGAAAGTGGAAGTAGAGCTGTAGTGAAATGAGAAGCTGCATTTCAGTGAATCTTTACGGAATATTGTAAGGAGGTTCTAGAGAATGTACTGGGACATTTATTACTTTCTCATTCACCAAGCAGAAAAAACTCCCTAATTATCTGTTGCACAATCTAGATGAAATGATAATAGGTGACCTATGTGCGAATGTTTTGCTAATGTAAATGTGAAAGTACAAATGTCTTCCATGAACCTTCGATGCTTATGAGAAGCACTGCAGCATTTTTTTTTTTTTACTGCGAGCCTACAAAATCTCTTGGGTCTCAATAGTTTCCAGTACTGGCTCATGTTGCCACAAAAATAAATATAAAATGCTAACAGGAAAGCGTCTGCGAAGATCATTTACTCTTAGAAATCTTCTCAATCTGTGATTTCAACTTTAATATCAGAGTTGATATGCTGAGTATATATTAATTTTGCCTTAACGTCCAGCTTCTAACCCACTTGATTTTGGTGTTAAAAAATTATAATATATTACTCCAGTATTACATTAGGACAAAACTGGAAAATAATACCTAAAGCACAAAACTCTTATATATATATAACTCATTATAAAACTTCATATATTCAAGTTTCCTTGTTCCCTCATTCATTCATCCTACTTGTCATCCCTCATATTTCAGTAACTGAAGGGCCTTTGTTTCCTCTGTCCTCTGACAATGCAATGTTATTGTTCTCGATTTGCTCTGTCCAAAAGGTGGGCAGCAGAACAGTGCAGAACAGTACTGGAATTGATCCATTGTCCTCATCGAGGACACATTTTCAGTGCTTCCACTGAAATCACAACATCTCCCTTACCATTTATTCACTCAGGCACATTTGTGCAGTAGTTGTTTGGCCATTCTGTTAATATACAAAGTTTGTGCGGCATGTGAAAGAATTTACAGTAACACAGATGCGGCATGCGAATCAACAAGTTTACTTGAAAAGAGAAACCAGTTTTACAGTTGTACTGGTAAATGACCCATAGAAGCTCTCCCATCATGACACGAAGCTTCTGATGAAACACATAAAGAGAACTCTGAGGAAGAGGTTTACTAAGTTATTTATTATTGCTTCTCTTCCTGGAAGCTACCACTTCACGCTTAATGCTCATGCCTAAACCAACACGACCTTTTCAGATGTCAGTTTATTCAAAATGCCATTGTATTCTATAGCCTACAGTATAACGGCAATTTTAGCTTGATTACAGTGGCTTACCTGCAATTTGATTCTCAGATTTTAATTGTTACTTTTGAGGTCCAGATGGGACTGGCCTGAGTATGACTGTTTAATTCTATATGAGCCTACTAAGTGTAGCCTGAGATACTCTGGCCTTTTTTTAAACCTTGTTTAAAAACACACACAAAATGTGCTTTTACTTAAAGTCCCTCTCCACTCAAAATCATTTTTCTTCTTGTTCCTACACTTTTAATTAGGTAGAATATATTATTTTATTTATCTATTTTATTATTTTAAACATCTTATCATATATTTTGTTTTAGTTTATTTTTACTTTTCTGTCGCTTTTATTTTACTGGAATCTGGTTTTATTTTGCTGTTGTGAAGCACCTATGTTTTCAAAATGTGCTATAATCTATTATTATAACCACTAATGTGGTTCCTACACTGTGCCAGAAAAATCCCTTGATTTGCTGCCAAGGGCCAAGATGAACTCTTTTGATTAATTCATTGATATCAGAATCTCACTGTTATGGTGCATGCTGACTGCAGGCGCACAAAACAGCCCGTGCAACTGGAAAAGAAAAGTAAATATTAACTAGTGGAACAAAGTGAGGAAGTTTGGGCTTGTTGCGTGATGAAGAGCCAAACTGAGTTATGTTTGGGTGACTTTTTATTCACACCTCTGATATCACTTAGAGCATTAGAAAGCATTTAGAGAGAAACCACACAAAACACATTTAGAGGAAAGATGTGTCTATTACTGTCAATGGCAATTACACCTAAAATATCTCATTGCAGCATTTCTGGATTGTCAAAACTGCACTAAGTAACAGCTAATATAGATTAATGGTGTGGGTTCTATTCTTCCTGGGGTCCACTGTAGACATACCCACACACCACTGTATAAATACTCCATTATAAGTAAAAGTCCTACATTGAAACTACTGTGGGGGGTAGGGTGGTAGTGGTTTTGAATGTTGTATATCTCGATTAAGTGTATTTAAGGGGCAGTCTCTGGGAACTCCCTGTTTCACTCAGGTTTCCTACTGCACTATTCCTGTACTCTTCAGCAACGTTCACCCAGCCAAGGATCATCTGTCCCTCTTTTCTGCTGCTTGCCTTCCATTCTACTCTACAGTCCTTAAATTTCCACCTTTTAATTACCAATAAACATCTGGTTCTGCATTTGGGGCTATTCCAGAGAACTTTGCAACCAAGGTCTTATACAGGTCTATAGTGTCTTTAATGTATTATGTGGATCTGGTGTGTCCTGGATGTGGAAAAAAAAGGTTTTCCCCACATTACACAATAAGACTATGTGATTTTATAGTAAGAATCCAATGTTCCCAGTCATGTGTCTGCCGCATTGTTTGCACTTCTTGTAAAAGACAAAGGCCCGTCAGCTTGACCAAATTGAAATTAATCTTGGGTCAATAAATCACAAGCTACTGTCTGATTCTGACCTATAACATCAATAAACCAAATCAGAAAATGGGTTAAACTGGATTTTCAGGAACAACTGGAAAGGATATGATTAATTCATTAAAATTCCTCTTGCTATCAGTTCCCATCAAGCGTTGGTTCGCTTGACTTGACCAGTCACTCCTGCTGTGTTTGTTCAAACTTTGGCCTCCTGCCCCGCTTCTATAAACTGGACACGCAAGCTGCCGCCAGTTGACAATCCATGTGCAAGACAAAAACTTCCTCTCAATAGAAAAATATCAGGGTTTACAGCTTTGTTATTATACTCGCCGTCAAGATGTCTGCTTGGATTAAGTCTACCATATTCATGTTTGGTTTGAAACCTTATTGAGTACTCTCTCCAAAACTCACTTTAACAAAACTCACAACAGTGAGCTCTGTGGCTGCAGTGCTACCAGGCAAATACACTGTTCCAGATGGGCCAGCAGGGGGCTCGATGTGAGCAACACAGTCCGTCCACTGGAATGCAAAACAGTTTAGATGCAGTGGTTGTATCCAGAGTGTAAAAGAAAAAAACAATTCAGAATGAAACTGAAATCTAACTGCCTTACTGACTTTTGTTCAGGTATCAATTTGAATCCTGTTGAGCTGTGGTTTCCTGTTTGCCCTCCTCTTTCTAGGAAAAGGGCTGATAGTTGAAGAAGTAAGGACTGTCGCAGCAGGGGGGAGGAGAACATCTTGTTGTCAACAGCAATCTACATTGTAATCACTGTAAACACGCATAACTGGACAGATGACAGACTATGACAGACTGGCTATCATGGTCACACAGCGATATAGCTGCACAAACACACGCACGCACACACACACACACACACACACACACACACTCTGATGCAAACTACACACACACAAACACACACACACACACAGCAACAGTTACTGTTTCTACAGTATCGTTTTAAAATAAAAACACAAACAAATCTGCAGACAATTATGCTCCTATGCAAACAAACAGACGCATACAAACATTGTTTCTTTTACCACAGAAAAGTTTGCATGCACACGCTTTATGTTGTTGTGTAACTGCATGCCCGAAAAAGCGTGTGTGTGCAGAAACAACATGGTAGAGTATAGCTTATTTATGTGTGTGTGTGTGGCGTGCTGCATTAGAAATGCTACGTTTCTAGGAACCCGAAAGTGAAAGTAAAGTCCTGTACTGTCTGCCCGATCGCTGGCCACATGGCAACAGATGATGCAACGTAGTTTATAATCTGCCATTGGCTCTTATTTACTGTGCTGCCTTAATGGCTACGGGGAGAATTAGATCCATTTTATTTACATAACATTTATTGAAAAACTTTTTGCCATGTTAATTTTTTTAGTTCATACATTGAAAAATAAGGACATGACTCAAAGGGAAATATTGTTGGGCAAGACTATTTCTCTTATTTCCTGGAATAGTGAGTTGATATTGAGGTATTTTGGGGGAATTTATCATGAAAGGAATTTTACTTAGAATGTTTTCCTTATTCTTCCTTGGAAGAGTTAAAAAAAAACAATCATTCAGAATTAAAAAAAAAAAAACACTAACAAGAAGGCAGATCTACAAAGATAAAGGCGGGTATCTTAATTCAACAGTACATCACATACCCGCATGATATCTGGGCGGAAAATACCTGTTACCAGTCAGTATCTCAGGCTTTCTTTCTCTTTTGCTCTACAGTTGGACTCTTAAACATCCATGGCAAAATGGATCAGTTCTTCCTGGTGCAACCCTCAGTTGAATTTACACTAACACACACACAACATCTCATGAACCTTTTATGAACTTGTGATAGCTGCTGGAGAAAGAGAAAGCAAAAGGTCAAATATCCGGTTGACATAAAGGTTAGATTCTATTTGACAACATCTTATATATATGATATGTGCCTCCGACTACTTGCTGCTTCAGGAAAATAAATATCTAATCCAAATATACATTCAGTATCATTTTGATTATTTCCTTGCTGAGGTCAATGGGACGTCCTGCTCAGTCACGCACGTATCCTGATTTCACCCATTCTCTTTCTGTATGTAGTGTTCACTGCGCTTTATAACTGTGCACGCAACCACACAAGCCTGCATTCTGGTCTTTTATTTCATCTCTTAAAATCTGGTCAGGAATTCCTCCGTGGACTATCAAGTGTAATGAGGCCATCCAAGTACCCAAGCAAAAGCACTTCTGCCGTGTGAGGAAGTGATAGTACCCACAGTGTGTTGTCTTAATTCCAAACAACAGGAAAAAAATATTTATTTTTTTGTGTGGCTCACTTAAAAGCATAGCCACTTAGATCTGCATGCAGCATACTCACTGAGGGGCGGTGGAAACAGCAGGGAGGTCAAACCAAATTGGACCTCAGATCCGGTGAATTCAACTGACCCAGAATGACTGTGCTATATTTCATTTTAAGTGGTTTTTGTCCCGAAATAAGAAAGAAAGACAGAATATAGGCAAAATGTTTTGGTCCAGACTGTGTGCTTTTCTAGCTTATCAAGATATCTATTCAGCACAGTCTCATGCCAAAACCTCCACTAGAGGATACTGTGTCAGTATCAAATGTTGGCATGCCTAGACGATGCTGGCTATTTGGGTGGCCTAAGTGTAATTGATATATATAAACATGCATTTTCACATAATTTTAGACTATTATCATTACACTATTAAAAAAAATCAAACACACATGTTGTAGTTTTTTACATTACACTCAGGTATTAGCAAGAAAGATGTCCTGAATTAGAATTGATTTATATTTTAAAATGTATAATAATATAACATAAATGAATATTCCTGACCAAACACGCTCTCTGCTGTGCTGTCTGCTCTGTGTGTCTGGAGCTGAGCCCTGTCCCCTGTCCTGCAGAGGAGAGAGACAACATGTGATGTGTGTGTACATAGCTTTATGTGTATGAAGGTGCAGTACCAGCATGGGGCGGTAATGATGTGAACAAAGGATGAAGGCAGTATATAGACTAAACACAGGACTTCTACCCAGGTGGCCACTGTTTGTGTCCTGTGCTAAACCAAAAGTTGACTTATTTCAAGTTACGTATGTGAGAAAACTTATGTAATGTACTCGGCTGTGGATATGGACTAGTGACTGATTTTTCACAAGTTTCACGGCCTCCATTCCATGGTCGTCAAATACAGACACGAGTGGTGTTCAGTTAGTTGTCATCGGCAACTTCGCTAGATGCCACTAAATCCTACACACTGGTCTTTTAACTTACATCACATCCGTATTGTGACCTGCAATCTTTTTCTAAACCTAATCAGGTAATTGTGTTACCTTAACCTAAGCCAACAATCTTAACAAGCTTTATTTTGACTATTTGCACTTTGCATATTTATTATTGTTGAAAATGTGACACGTGACACCGTTCAAATGATAACATCTGTTTCTTTATACCAATCCAGCCTTTGGTTTGGATTGTTCAATGGCTCACAGTCACCTATAAATTGTGTCTTTAAGTGGACAGAGCATCTTTTGCATTGTGTTTAAGTGCACTACTAATGTAGGCAACACAGGTGTTGACTAGCAGTACTGTATGTTTCTACTACTTTGCCACAGACTGTTGGTCCTGTTACTACTGCCATTTCTATTACGCTCATACAACATTATTCCCACTTATAACCACTAGCGTACTACCAGTGCTACTCAGTGGCAGAATCAGGCTGTCTGAGAGGCAGGGACAAAAAATTACACCATGAAGCTCTGTAATAAAAACGCACAGAACTACAGCACCCTAGCACCCCAGAGGGCACTTATTTCACCTTTTCTTGCATACTGGGTCAATTTATCATGTTTGATCTACCATGGAGATGTCCACTACTTGTGCTACTAGTATTACTATCACCTCAGTAATATAGAGATGTCCCATCCAGGCTTGCCTGTAGCTTCTGTAACTTATTGCCACCTCCCATCCAACATTTCTGGCATTTCTGGCATTGGTCCAGTGGTAAACTGTTTAGCTGTCATCTGTTCAGTCCCTAGTGTTTTGCTGTTATTGTAGACACTGAAGGCAAACTGAACTAACCGCTCTCCCTCGACTCGCCAGCGGACTCCTCTCATCTGCTGAGCCATGATGTTTTATTTATGGTCTAGGGCTCAAAGGAAAGGAATTAAGACAAATCTGGATATGCTACTTGGAAGGAAACCGGGATAAACTGGCATGTAAACACCTCATCCCTGTTTCTGAACATTTCCTGTTGTAAAGAAATGTGTGGCACTGGATGAGGTGTCGAGGACTTGAAACACAACTGCACAGGAATGATCAGAAACCTGGAATCATGTATACAGGGATATACTAATGTTCCATGTAAATATCATATTCCCAAATATGATCAAAACCAAGAAACTACTCAAATGGGGCTACCTATGTGCATCTAAACGCATTCAGTTATTATTAATACTACTTCCGCCTCTGCTTCTGCTCAAAAATGACTTACAGGAATACACACACACATACATGCACACAGACACATTGTAATCTTTCCACTAAACACAGTCATAAGTCAGAGGTTAACCTTCAGTAAACACACACACATGCAACACACACACACACACACACACACACACACACACACACACACACACACCGCAGCTCTGTGGTTGTCCCTTTCACACTGAAGTCATGTGACCTCCTGTCAACATGGTAGTATCTGATACTCGGTTTGACAGTTTTTTTTTTTTTTACAATTAGTAACACACATTTCTGAATACTGACTTCACCTTTTTGAAACTGTTCGACTGCTCAGCATATTTAATCTCCTTTATCAAATGCAGTAATGTCACGAAAACACTGACACTGACGACATTAGTCTGTTAACAGTAACTACTTTGTCACTCAGTACACAATGACCTTTTTTAGAGTAAACCAAGATTCCATTTCAACAACAAGGTCATCTCCAGCATGCTTCTTTATAGTGTATGTCACGGAAATTAATGGTGCTATATGCTTTAATATGCTTTTTTTTGGTGTCATTTTTGCACAAGATGAAACTAGAGTAATTCCAGCAATTCAATACAAAACTATACATATTCACTTTACCCACCAGGAGAGCTACAGATATAAAGAATTATAGCAATGCCAGTCAACTCTGTCTTGTGAAATTTGGCCTCAAGTTCTTATCCACATCATAACTTCTGTCCTCTCTCTTTCCATGATCCTGATCCATCACTGACAGTCTTCAGCAGATATGTCCAGACATTCAGCATTCACAGCATCCAAGAGACACATCTGAGTACACAGCTGGTGTTCATAAACATTACACCTCCATGAAAAAAATAATTCCCCTAGAGGAATAGAGATCAAGTTGGAAAGGAAATGTGGCACCATCTTGGTTTTCGGCTGTAAATCACTCTGTCGCATACAGTTACCAGAAAACGTTGTGGATTCTGCCTCATCTGCCTCACTGTCCTCATGTGACACAAGTCTTTCATTGAAAGGTCATCAAGGAATAAAATGAGGCCCTCTGTGACGTCATTAGGAGTTTACGCAGTTTAATTTTTTACTTTGTTTTAGGTGTAGATGTAGCAAACTGCCGTCTAATTTAAAGTAATTTTGTAAACTTATTAAGTTTTGAAACATGTGCATGTTGGGGGCGGCAGTAGCTCAGTCTGTAGGGACCGGATGTATATCTGTGTTTGTGTGTATATGTATATATATATATATATACATATATATACTGTAAATAATATTACGTGTAATGTATTTTTCCAATAACCCAGAAGACCAGGTAAGTTTGTGTGAGTGAATATGTATCTATACAACACCTTGTAAAGGAAACACACACATGACTGCATCAAGTTCTTCGCTTCAGCGTCATTACTGTGTGTGGGGTGGATCTATTTTAACAACAGTGTCAGACCTGACACCCACTTCAGGTTTTTATCATGTTAGCGTACTTGATGTCATGTGCTAAAAACAGTGTCTGCACTGTAAAATGTTTGATGCTCCTGGAATGATGCAGCCTTTTGATCTTTTTTTTTACGCCTTTCACTTTCAAAGAAATGAAATGATGAAATGAAAGTGATGTCAGCGTCATGCCGTCAGTCATTAAACAAAAAAGGAATAGGATGCTACTGTTA